TGGAGCTGAGAGTGAAGCATCCAGCTGATATGAAGTGAGGGGAGATGCACAAGAACACTCAAACTTGCAGATAGTACCCATTTGACCTAACCTCGATGGCTTGATAATCAGAACTTGACTAGAGGAAGATAAAAAAATTTTTTGATAAAGGGAATAGAGGGTAAATTGCTACAATTTTATGAACCTGATCTATACTCATGGAGGTGGTAACTCTAAATATCATCAGAGGGAGGAAGGAACCTTCACATCAAGTATCAATGCTATCCTCTCTGTATATAGGGTAGATAGGAACGGCAACTTAGATATTGGTTGCCTAAAATGAGGAGGCGATAAAGACACGAAGTGACTGGCTTACAAGGTTTCAAGAGGGGGTGTAGTTTAAGAGTGTGTGGGGGAAGATAGAGTCCCAACTGAATAGTTTTCCTCTTGTCTAGATGTGTCTGGTTCAAAGAGATGGGGATAGATTCTTATGATTCAAAAGTGAGTAATAGTTATCATGACTAATTGCAACTGTCCCAATTGTAAAGGTAGACGTTTTGTAACAAAAATGGGAGAATAGTTAATCTTACAGTCCAGAAACAAAGGGCCCTAGGACCATCAAGGGAGAAGAGCACAAGCGGAATGCGAGACCTTATCCAGAGAAGCAGCGTCGCCAGAGATGGAGGCAAAGATGTAGACATGGAGACGGGGAGCAGCTTAGGACTCTAAATTCATGAGAAGAGATGTACCAAGAGCTTCTGGCCAGGAGGCAGACTTGCAGAATGTGCCTTTTGGTGGTGTAAATTATTGTATATGCTTGAGGGTTATAAAAAAAAAAAAAAAAAGAGCTAAAGTAAATACAGAGACATACTGTTAACTGGTGGTACATGGAGGGGATTATAATCATTGTAATGAAACAAGGTGTATGATTTGTTGAATATAAAACTGATGATCTGCCCTGTAAACTTTCACTCAATTCACAATTAAAAACTTAAAAAAACAAAAAAATAAGTAACCTTATAAAATAAATAAATAAATAAAGAGAGCTGAACAAAAGAGTTCCAAAGGGCAGCTTGAGACGACAAATGTGAATATTGTATTGAAATGTACAAAGACCTGGATTTAGAAATCCAAAGGGAAGAACACACTCAGCATTTCTTAAATCGAAAGAACTGAAGAAAAAATTCAAGCCTCAACTTGAAATATTGAAGGATTCTGTGTGCAAAGTAGGAGCTCTTGTAGCATAATGGTTACAAATCAGGCTGCTAATCTCATGGTCAGCAGTTCAAAACTACCAACTGTTCCATGGGAGAAAGATAAGGCTTTCTCCTCCCATAAAGATTTACAGCCTGGAAACCCAGTGCAGGGTCACTATGAGTCGGAACCGACTCCACGGCACATAACCACCACCACCACCACCATTGGCAAAATATTGAATGATGCAGAAAATATCAAAAGATGATGAAAGGTATACACAGAGTTACTATACCAAAAAAGAAAAAAAATAGCCGGAGCTTAATCATTTCAAGAAGTAGCATATGATTAAAAACTGATGGTACGGAAGGAAGAAGTGCAAGCTGCACTTAAGGTATTAGCAAAAAACAAGGCATCAGGAACTGATGGAATATAAATTGAGATCTTTCAAAAAACTGATGTAGCAAGCAGGTATTTTCCAAATCTCTTGGCATTTATGCCAAGAGATTTGGAAAATACCTACCTGGCCAACCAATTGGAAGAGATCCATATTTGTGCCCATTCCCAAAAGAGGTAACTCAATGGAATGTGGAAATTATCAACAATATCAATATCACATGCAATAAAATTTTTCTGAAGATAATCCAAAAATGCCTCCAACAGTGTGACAGGAAAATGCCAGAAACCCAAATTGGATTCAGAACAGGAAATGGAACTAGAGTTATATTTGCTGACATCAGATAGATCTTGGCTGAAAGCACAGAATATCAGAAAGATGTTTATTTGTGCTTTATTAACTATGCAAAGGTTTTTGACTGTGTGGATCATGACAAACTACGGATAACACTGAGAAGAACGGGTATTACAGAACATTAGATTATGCTCATAGGCACTGGTACATAGACCAAGAGGCAGTCATTCGAACAGAAAAAGGAGATACTAAATAGTTTAACATCAGGAAACGTGTGCACCAGGGTTGTAGTCTTTCACCATACTTATTCAGTCTGTATGCTAAGCAAATAATCAGAGAAGTTGGATTATGTGAAGATGAGCATGGCATCAGGATTGGAAAAAGACTTTAACAACAACAAAAAGAACATTAATAATTCTATAATATCTGGTATCCAGTACGTATTTAAATTCTCCCGATTGTTATAACAATAGCTTTCACAGCTAAGTTTGTTTGTTTGTTTTTCCAATCCAGGGTCCAATTAGGGTTTCCAAATTACATTTGGTTTTTATGTCTATTTAGAGTCTTTACTTAGAACAGGTGTTGGTAAGCCATAGCCCATAGGTCAAATCTGGCCCATCCCATTTTGTACGTATGTAAGTGTGAATACAACCATGTTCATCCAGTTACGTATTGTCTATTTCTGCTTTAGTGCTATGATGAGAGTTGAGTATTTGTGAGAGACAATATGGCCCACAAAACCTAGATCTTTATAGAGCAACTCAACTAATAATTTCTCCACCTTTAATATTGGCTGTTTGAAAAGTCCATAAAAATTTCTTACAGAATCTCTCTTGATTTTAGATTGGTCTGATTACATTTGCTGTTGTTAGGTGCTATGGAGTCAGTTCTGACTCAGAGTGACCCTTTGTATGCAGTATGAAAGAACACTGCCTGGTCCTCTGCCATCCTCACAACTGCTCTTGTGTTTGAGCCGATTGTTTTTGCCCTCTGGTCAGTCCATCTCAGTGAGGGTCTTCCTCTTTTTTGATGACCCTTCATTTTACCTACTATGCTTTCCTTCTCCGAAGACTGGTCCCTCAAGATAACTTGCCCAAATTATGTGAGAGACGAAGTCTCACCTTTCTGGCAGTATTACTTCCCAGACAGATTGGTTTGTTCTCCAATTGTATGTCCAATATTCTTCTTCAGCACCATAATTCAAATGCATAAATTCTTTTAAGGTCTTCCTTATTCATTGTCCAACTTTCACATGCATATGAGGTGACTGAAAATACCGTGACTTGGGTCAGGTGCACTTTAGTCCTCAAACTGACATCTTTGCTTTATAACACTTTAAGAAGTCTTTAGCAGTACATTTGCCTAATGCAATATGTCTTTTGATTTCTTGACTGCTGCTTCCATGAGTGTGCATTGTGGATTGAAGCAAAATGAAGTCTTTGACAACTTCACTCTTTTCTCAGTTTAACATGATGTTATTTATTGGTCCAACTCCCCATCAATGTACTGCTGCAACCATTTAAAAATTATCTTCAGTAAAACTCTACTTGTGGGTGATACCAATGATATTGTTCAATGATTTCTACATTCTGTTGGGTTCCTCTTTTTGGAATGGTCACATACATGAACAGAAAAATGAACATTTGTTCTTGTTTCTGTTGTTGTTGTAAAGTATCATCAAGTTGGTTCTGTCTCACAGTGACCCTATATATAGGGTTCCCAAGAAGTGGTTGATGAGTTTGAATGGCCAATCTTGCAGTTGAATCCAACTTTGTGGTCCAGTACTTATCCTACAGTGCCACATCACGGCACAAATATGTATTTCTTCTAATTGGCTGGCCCAACATTTGATTATGTACATTCCCATATTGAATTTTTAAATGAAGTGTTATATATTATACATATAGGAGTCCTGGTGTGGCACTGTGGGTTAATGTGCTGGGCTGCAAAGTCGGTTTAAACCACAAGGTTGGCAGTTCTAGCTCACCGGTCACTCTTTGGAAACCCTATATATGTCGCTATGGGTCAAAACTGACTTGATGACACTTAACAACAACAACAACAAATATTATATATATCTATTAATATTAAATGCTTATTCGATTATCAGTGGTCTATGGGACAGTAGTAAACAACTTCTTATGTGTCAAAAACTATAAATAAAATGGAAAAACAAACTTGAAAAATAATTAGAGTATTAAAGTCTTATCTTTTTCTATATTTTATTTTTTAGAAAGGAGAAAAAAGGATGCCATCTTTGATAGATGGTAGAATGTTTTGGTTACAAATTAAGATAAAAGCCATTCTGATCAAATTTCTACATTATTCAAATAGAGAAATTAGTAGAAAAACCAACGGACTCCTCTTCTGGAAAATCATAATATAGGATTTCAAATATATACACTACAGTGTGCAGAAATTCAGATATATACCCAAGACTGTCACCTCCCTGAGAGCAGGGACCAGGTATCTATCATAGTACCTGGCATATAAAAAGTGCTATATAATTTATTCCAGGGAATAAATGAACACCATCCCTTCAGAGAGTCAGGCAGGACAGATTATAACCAAAATAGTCACATCTATTTATTAGATTAGTTGTTTGTTTCTGAAATAGTAAGTGTTCCTATCACACTAAAGTTTTGTGTCTGTTAGTGAGAGTTTATACATCATCATGGAAATAGGACTGAGCATAGACTAGGGTACTATGGGCAGGAATACACTGGTTTTACACATACGGTTACATGGGAAGCTAAAAAGTGTCTGGTTTCTCCTTCCGATTAACCTAGACAGACTCTAATGAATAGAACTTTATCCCCTGTTCCTGGGACACAGTATGTCTATCCTACTAAACACCTCAGATATTACACTAAAACATAGAGAGAAATGAAAGGAAGCACTGCTTGGGTATATAACGGCCAAGGCTACAAGTAGGAGAATTCTCCACTTCTTTAAAATGTCTCTAGACCTATCAAATGTTAAAATGTTCTCTAAACCTACAAGAAGAATGAGATCTCTGTAAGACACAATATATATTTTACAAGAATCCTTAGGAAAAAAACTTAAAAGACATCCAGCATGGCTCACACATATGTCAATCAAGAGTGTGCTGCTGGTTAGGAATAAAGCTGCAGATTTAAACAATTCCTGGCTGGTTCTTGAGCAGCGGATCCTTCTCCTGGCTTCTGCAAGAGAATGTGGCCTTTGCATGGTTGATGAGAGTGTCCAGGCCTTTGTCGTTGATCACTTTACCAGGAATGTTTTCTATTGGTTTGTATACTTTGTATTTTCTGAAAGTAAGGAGTTGGGCAGTTATTAAAAGATCTTCAGCTGGAAAATGTTGTTTTTTACGTTTTACATGACATACAAAACAGATGAATTCCATTGAACTTTAATCTATGGCTTGTAAGACATTGGGAATTTAAGAAAATATTTATTTTCTCTTCTTTATGCAAAAAACATGCATGTTTACTATCATTTGAGATTACATAGTAAACATTATATAGACACAATTTTATAAAGTTACTGATGCCTGGTAGTATTTTTTTAAATTTAAAAAACCCACACCCCTCAATTTTTAGCCAAGCAGTAGACAGGTATATGGGGTGGAAGGGGTACACCATGGAATGGTCAATTATTCAAAATCAAAAGGGCACCATTTACCTAAGGACAAAGTTGAGAAGGGATGGGAAGGTGAGGGGAATAGAAATAGGAAGCAGAGGGAGGAAGTGGGACAACTTTGTTCCATGGCAGGCATTGTCATCATTGAAATGAAACAAAGTGTATGATTTGTTGAATTACAACTGATGAACTCGTCTGTAAACCTTCACTCAATTCACATACAAAAAAGACTTAAAAGAAAAAACAAACCCACACATAGTAAAACTAATAGGCCATTCAATAGAAGAATCTCCTCCCACACACAAAATGCTTAAAAGAAAAACAGAAAATGGCATATATGATATCTTTGTAGAAATGTTCTCTTTATGTATAACAATCTACAAGCATGATTTAAAAGGTTAGAACCAGAAACTTACTTGTACAGCATGAGGGTGACCACAATGACAAATATCACCAAGCAGCCAGCAGAGATCAGGGCCCCATTTGCTAGTCTTAAAGGGGATGCTGGGTCATAAAACAGAAGCAAGACTGAATTAGTTACCTCTTCCACCCAGAGTACATGCTGCCTGTAATGCAATTAAATAAATGAAGAAGGGAGCTATCTCAGAAGATACATGTTCCCTCTGTGCTCTCAGTAATCTGTTTCCATTAAATAACACCTTGTCTCTGGGTTAGCTTATCTTCCTGAAGAGGCCTGCTCAGTCTCAGCTGACCCAGAGGTGCCCCTGTGTGAGGAGCTCCGTGAGCCATCTGTCCCCACCTCTGCCTTCATCTCCCATTCTCCCTCCCCACCTACCTTCCAGCCAGGCTAGAAATCCAGTGGAGTGCCCATCCTCATCACACTTTTTCACACCTCCCTCTTTCTATCTGTTGGGATAGTCCTTCCCTGGCTTCCTGAAAGTGCCCACCTCTTTGTGACGCCTTCTCAGACATTTAGGAACACACAGGGTCACATCTCCCTTTGTGTCACCACCACTGCACTTCTCTCTCTGCCCTTTGCCTTCATCATCTGCACTGATTTCTGTTTCAACAGTTCTCTCCTACTAGACTATAAGTACCATAAAAGACTTGTCTCCTCTGTACTCGTGAATCGATCAACTAGTCCAGTGTCTACCATCAAAGCATAACCAGAGTCTATCTAGTTTCCCTTCATCTCCTCTGCCACCATCCAAGTCTCAGTCACCAACAAAGCTGTCCCTCAAAGACAATAGTGAAATCAAGACATTTCCTGATAAACAGAAATTAAAGGAATTTGTAATGACCAAACCAACTTTACAAAAAATGCTAAAGGGTGTTCTTTGGACTGAGAATCAATAACAGTAGACAACAACCTGAGATAACCATACATGATAACACCACCCAGAACTCAATCCAGATAATGAAATATTTAAAGTAAAACAAATCTAGAAGACTGAAAATAGGGAACCAGAGATATCAATTTATAAAGAAGTCAACTACAAAGCAAAACAGAGGAAGTAGTGTAGATACAGAACTTCCAAGTGGCAAAGATATCAGATAGATTTCAAGATACAACTGACTGTTTTAGATAGAGAAAAAATTTAATAAATTACAGGGTAACCTCAAAGAAAATTACTATACCTGCACATCAAAAATAAAAAAAGTAAAATCAGAAAGATTTAGTAAACACTAATACAACAGAAATGAAAATGAAAAGAAAACTCACAAACAAAATGAATTCGGTGCAGAAAATTATGTGGAACAGAGAAACCAGCAGCACCACAAAACACACAGCAGACAAAGGCAAGAAGTGACTGGCTTACAAGCTTTCAAGAGGGAACCTAGATCCAGAGGACATGGAGGAAGGTAGAATCTCCAGTGAGTAGTATTCAATCTGACTAGGCGGGGCTGATGCAATGAAATGCAGATAGGTCTCTTGTGATACAATAGTGAATAATTGTTATCAGGACTGATTGTGAGGGTTGGAAACGTAAAGGTAGATGTTTTATAGCAAGGAGGGGGGTGATTAACTTTTCAGTCTAGAGTGGAGGTCCCTAGGACCATCAAGGGAGAAGAGCAGAGAGCGGGACCCTACCCAGAGAAGCAGTGATGCCTGAAATGGAGGCAGAGATGATGACGTGGAGTGATGGAGCAGCTGGAGACTTTAGATCCAGAGAGGGAGAGCGACTGTGTGCTGAAGACCTGGGGGGTACTGGGGAAGGATTGCATGGAGGGGATTGTAACCATGGCAATGAGACGATATACGACAGAATGAATGTAAAACTAACGTTCTCCCATGTCAACTATCACATAATTCACAATAAAACATTTAAGAAAAAAAAAAAACACACAGCAAAATAACAACAATCAATTAATACCTATCGATAATTACACTGATTGTAGATGGATTAAATGCACCAGTCAAGAGACAGAGAAAGCAGAATGGACAATAAACAGGATATTCAATATTTGGTCTACAAGAGCTACCTCAAAAAGATGGAGGCAGCTTAAATACCCATCAACAGAAGAATGGTTACAGAATCTTTGGTGCACACACACAATGGAATTGTATGAAACACTGAAGAATAATGATGAATATGTGAGATACCTCACAGCATTGATGAACCTGGAGGACAGATTGCTAAATTAAATTAGTCAATCACAAAAGAACAAATATTGTACGAGACCAATGCTGTAAAAAGTTCAAAAAAGAAAAAGAAAAAAGCTTCTCTTAATTAAAAAGAAACACTATGGTGTTTATTGGAAGGGACAGGGGAGGAAAAATCATTCATGGCCCAGAGCATAGACATACAATAACATGGGTGGCAGGGCATGCAATATATGAAAGAGGGAGGTTAGCAGAGGAAAGCAGGTAGCAGGAGATACAGGGAGGAATGCAATAATTAAAATGAATAGAGGAAAATGAATAGAGGAAAATACGGTAAACTTTTGATCATGGAGAGAATTGCAATCAATATAATGAAGCAAAGTATATGATTTCATGAATATAAAACTCATGATCTGCTGTTAATTTACCTTCATGCAATTAACAATAAAAAGTTTAAGACAATAATAAAATAGAATTCCTTCAAACTATAATAATAATAATGACTATCACCCATACATGGGAGTGTGGTGGCTTCATATGATAAGCACTGGACTGAGAACCAAAAGGTTCGAAATTTGAGTCAGCCAGCTGCTCTGCAGGAGAAAGATGAGGGTTTCTGCTCCCCTAACGATTAAAAGTCTCAGAAACTCTATACAGGGTCACTATGGGTTGGAACCGACTAACAATACTTATCAGCAACAACATCACCCATACATACTGTGCTCCTTGAGACCAATGGTCAACAATTACTTTTTTAAAAAAAGAGAACAATGTAAGGGGGCAGGAAAACTAGATTAATAGAAATAGAACCATCGGTTGGCAATAATAATACTGACACATTGTGAAGAATTTAACCAATGTCACTGAACAATTTGCATAGAAATTATTGAATGGGAATCTACAATGCTATGTAAACCTTCACCAACAACACAATATTTAAAAAATAATCATAATAGGCCTTAATACATATAATTTCACATATGATCATTCAAGCTTGTTTGCCTTCCCCCACCCCTCCACTAGGTTTGAAACTGCCTTTTATATGGTTAATGGGTAAACACTTGCATGCGCTTAAGTACATTTTACTTCGTGAGATAAGCTTCAAGAACCAAAGTGATTATAAGTGAATGAATCAGGCTGCTAACCTCAAGGTCAGCAGTTCAAAACTACCAGCAGTTCTGCGGGAGAAAGATGAGGCTTTTTGTTCCTGTAAAGATTTACAGCCTCGGAAACCCTGTGCAGGGTCACTATGGGTCAGAACCTACTCGACAGCACTTAACAATAACAACAATCATTAGATTGTACCTAACTGTATTCAAAGTAAGGGGGGAAAGTAAGCGTTGCAGTGTGTATACAAGTTAATCTTTCTCTCCCTTCTACTATCTAAAACTTCTAAGAGATAAAGAAATATGTTACAACGAAGCCAGTTAGAACTAAAATTCAGTTAGGGCTGCTGGGTAAAGCCCTAACTTGGGGGTTGGGAGGGTATCCTTATTCTAATGAATTCAAACTAGTTTAAGGAGGCTGCACAAACATCTGCTCAGTCCCAAATTTACCATCATCTCAATACAATTAAGAACATTTTCTTCCATGATGATTCCGAAGCCAGGGGGATATTACTGATGGAGAAGGTGCCGAACTAATGCTTGGACATATGTCACTGTCTCTATTGATCATATACTAGTAAATGAGAATTTAAAAATGAAACTTATTAGTTTGCTTTGTTGACATTTTATCTCAGCCAGTCAAGTACTGTTGTTGTTGTTAAATGCTGTGGAGTCATTGCCGACTCATAGTAACCCTGGAGAGGGTTTCTGAGGAGCAGCTGGTGGGTTTGAACTGAAAACCTTACAGTTAGCAGCTCAGTGTTTATCCTACAGCACCACGCTATTCAAGTATGGTGGTTATATGCCGTGGAATCAGTTCTGACTCATAGCGACTCTTTACAGGGTTTCCGAGGCTGTAAATCTTTACGGGAGCAGAAAGCCTCATCTTTTTCCCACAGAACCACTGGTAGTTTCAAACTGCTGACCTTGAGGTTCATAGCCCAATTTATAACCACTACGCTACCAGAGCTCCTTGCACAAGTATAAGGAGGGCAAAATGTTGATTTTCTAGTAAACACTTGAGGAACAGACAAACTGGTTTGTGATTGTCTCAGTGTGATTCTTGGTGGAATCTGGGAAGGGGAGAGAGGACACATAGCAATTTAGAATGAGCCAAGAGTCCACTTGGTTTCTCATTTCTCATTTTGGCTTCATACTATTACCCAGGTGAACGCTCATGAAAATTGAAACAAGTCTTCAGCCTCCCTTTATTCGAGTTTATGTGGAGAGCATTGTGACATTTGTTTTGATGTTGGATTTTATATTCTGCTCTTGAAATGCAAATCTATTCAAGGGCATAGTAATCATATTCCTTTAATATTGCTCCATGATTACAACTAACTTTTCCACCAAAGGCTTTTCCTCAGTTACTATTCACTGGCTCTCTCTCTCATCACTTCTCTAAGTAGATTTACTGTTTGGTTTTAATGCCAGTTATTAAATCCTTACTCACAATCATTCCATGAATTTTACAATGAAATAAAATTAAGCACTGATAGTAAAGCCCTAGATAGTTTCACTCTTAGACACATACTTTGTCTGTAACATGAAATGTTTATACAACCACATGACAAACTCACCTTTGCTGGACACGGAGACAAGGGTGCTCGTGAGGGCCAGACTTGCAGCATCACCCAGGGTAAGGCTAAGACAATATATGCCAGGCCCACTGAAGGCTCTCCTCACAGTCAGCAAGCAATTCTTGTCTAAATCCACAGGGCTGCAGACAGAGTTCTGGGCGAGCTGACAGGTGGGGTCAGAGATGGTCGTACAGACCTCTGTGGGAATGCTGAGACATAGAAGGGTGGACAAGGGCACAGATGGCACAGAGAGTAGAGGAAGGAATGGAATATCAGCTTGAAAAAAAGGGAATGCCATCACATTTCTATGAAATTGGATTCCATCTTATTGTTATTCAAAACATCCACTTGACCATCTGAAATTTATTCTTTAACAACCCTAGGTGGTAAGCTGTATTTTCTGTTCTCTCTGTATTTTCAAGGACAGTCCTTGGGGGTGAAGGAGGAAGAAATTATCTCTCCCAAGGCAAGGGTTTGTTGGAAGCTGTTCAAAGCTTGTCATTTCCTCTACTTTTTGGCTTCCAGAATCCCCAAAGAGATGGCTTAGGTGTTAAGCAAAGCTATTATTAAATGCCAGATCTGCCCGGCTTGGCTTCCAAGAGAGGTGTCAATGCAGCAGCAGCAGCTAACGCTGTTCATTTAGTATTTACTATGTGCCAAGCATTGAAGTCGGAGTGTGTTAGCTCCATATGATAAACACTGGACTTCAAACCACAAGCTCTGTAGTTCTAGCCTGTCAGTCACTCCACGTTACGAAGATGAAGCTTTCTATTCCCACGAGCTCTGGTGTGGCACTGTACAGTATGCACTGGATTTAAAGCCTTGGAAACCCTCCCTACACAGGGTCACGATGAGTTGGAACTGACTTGACAGCACTTAACAACAGTAATGAAACACTGAAGTGAATGAACTCTGATATGGTGCCCTAGGAAAAGCACTGGACTGGTAACTGCAAGGCTGGCAGTTCAAATCCACTAGCTGCACTTGGAAACCCTATACAGGATCTCTGTGAATCAGAACCAACAGGACAGCACACAGCAACACCACCACCACCACCAACGATTCTGTACATCAACCTCTTCTAGTTTTCTTCCTACCTCACTAAACATTGAAGTAACCTTTGAGCTCTGGTGTGGCACTGTAGGGTATGTACTGGATTGGTAACCTCAAGGTTGACGGTACAAACCCACCAGCCTCTCTCAGAAACCCTATACAGGGTCACTATGAGTCAGAACCAACTATACATCACACAACAGTAACAAGAGTCAGCACTGAAGGAGTCCTGGAGCTGCTGCTGGTTAGACACTGGGCTACTAACTCGTTCTGTCTTGGGGTCCTCACACTCACCCACCCTCTGCCTGAGACAATATACTCACGTCCCTTGGCATGTCACAACAAAGTCCATCAGGGAATTTGCAGGCTGGGACGCAGGCATCACATCTGTCATCTGGATGATGTTAACATCTCGAATTCCCTCTAACAAAGCAACCCACACAAGAAGACACATCACGTGACAGAAATGAAACCAAACTGCACCTAACTAAGCAGAAGGCCAAACAGCAAGACAGAGACTACCTTCTTGCCAAAACTTTGAAACCCCCTCTCAGATCTAGGAATCTACCTCCAGAGCTTGGGATCCATGTCCCTGCAGCATTTTCAAAAGTCAACCTGAGCTCTCTTCAGTTCAAGCTAGATTTTTATTCCCAAAGCCTGTGACTGCCATTCTGGGAATGTGAGCTCTGGAGGAGGGACACAGACTCAGCCTCAGGGCTTCTCTCAGGCGGAAGCACCCTGGCTTTAGGGAGCACAGTTTGAGTTTCCATTTCACTCACCTTTTATGCAAACAACATACAACCATGTGCGGTGATGTTGGGAGCAACTACACCAAAGGTCTCAGCCTTGGGGACAATTTAACTGAAGGATTGCAACTGAACAGTTGTGGTCCAGAAAATTGGTCTGCTCCCAGGTCAGGCTGCCCCCTGAGGAACTTGCAAAGCCTGCCTCAGTTTGCAAAGCTTTCCTTGTATGCAGTCATGGCCTTCAGTTTAGTCTGCATAAACATCTAGCTGCCCTATCTCTGTTTCCCTAGCAACTACATTCTTTTGATAAAGTCCCGTTTACTGCTTGAATCAATACAACAAAAGTCCCCAACACTTTCCTTGGATATGTGTATATAATAAACGTGCTCAATCTAGGTCTGAGTCACAGTATCTCCAACTTTACTATTTCCATTTTGTGTCTTGTGTCTTCCTTTTTTTTCTAATCTCCCATCGCCCGACTCAGGTTTAATCTCTCCATGTGGGTCATGGACTATAGCCACTTGTCAGATGCAACATGGTGACCACGTCTGTTCCCATTTGTGAATACAAGAAATGTGACATTGTGAAAATTAACTAGGGAAAGGGAGTGGATGTTGGCTTTTCTTCAACTCCCATGTCCATGCACATTGCTGGGAGGCAGAGGGCTAATGCCAGGCCCCAGGAAGGCTCATTACATGGACCTCACAAAAGACTCATTTCCACCAAGATGTCTAAGGAAGACCAGGATAGCCAGGTGGGAACCCAAACACTAGCACAATGCGGTGGTTTTCCTCTGACAGGCAGCAGGGGTCCCTTCTCCCCACCTCCACCTCTCCCACATTAGCCTTAGCTGGATTGTCACCACTCTCCCCTGCTAGTCTTCAGTCTTACCTACAATTGTGATGGTGGCTTTAAAATAACCGTATCTGGTAATTTGGCATCTTTCATCTGGGGCCTCGCTGAGTTCTAGGGGACTGTTACCAGCAGAACCTGAAGAGTTTGAAAGATAAGATTTTAGTAGTTACTAAGAATGTAAAACACATGTTATTGCCCAAAATTTATCTATCTGCTCTTTTGAAAAATATCAACAATTCTTAACTGTTCAAATTACTGCAGAAATCTGAACTAAATGTGTAAAGATTTATATAAATGGGAGAGCTGTTATGGTTATAATTGCTACATTAGGTAAGTAAACACAATTCCATATCTTGTTTAAACACAGAAAACAAAGGAGAGATAGAAACTGTAATTAAATATATGATACAACAATCATGCTAGACAGAGAGTCCTGGTGTGGCACAGTGGAATAAAGCACTGGACTACAAGGTTGGTTTGAGCCATGAGGTCAGCGGTTCAAACCCACCAGCCACTCCTTGGAAACACTACACAGGGTCGTTATGAGTCAGGAATCATAACGGCACCTAACAACAACATTAGCAGATAAAAGCCACATT